GGCCCCCCCAAGCTCAGATAAAAAAAGGAAAAAGACCCCCCCCCCCGGGGGGCCCAACCGTTCCCTTTTAAAATTTATTTGGGGGGAAAACACGCCCTTGGTTTTTTTTAAATTTGGGGGGGTGGGGGGGGGGAAACCAACAGGGGGGGAACCCCCCCCAAGGGGGGGGGTTTTTTTTCCCCCCGGGCCGGGGGGGGCCCCTTTTTTATTTTTTTTTTTAAATTTTCTTTAAACCGGGGGGGCCTTTTTTCCCCCCCCCGCCCCCCCCCCCCCCCCCCCCCCCCCCCCCATCCCCCCGAACCCCCTAGGCCAAAAACGCCGAGGCCGTGACGGCCTGCGACGAAGGCCTGGCCGCCGAGAGGCGGTCGTCCTTGCCCCCCTCTACACCGGTTGCCGTGGCAGCAGCAGGAGGGGGGGGCGGCGACGGCGGGGCCCCGGCAGTAGCGGTGTCGAAGACCGTGAGGGAGCTGGAAATGATGGCAGGCAAGGGATTGGTTGAGGTGGCACGTCAGGCGAGAAGTTGTTCTGTCGTTTTTCAGCCCGTCGGGCAAAAATCAGCCGAGGGGGGTGTGATATCTCGCGTCATGGGTACCTACGTATGTGAGAGTACCGTATACGACACAAGATAACACACCCCCTGGACCGATTTTGAAAGCTCGGTTACTCCACGACGAAGAGGATGCATGAACGAAACGATACGTTTTCGGAAAGCTTTCTCTCGACCGGACGGCTTCAACGCCGCCGTTGTCGGCGCTGCGACTCTTTCTGCTGTTGATGAATCGAGCTTTAAAAATCGGTCCAGGGGTGTGTTATCTTGTGTGGCACAAGATCACGCCACCACATGCATACGAAAGAACAGTCCGCACCCCCTCACGCGGTCCCTTGAGACGATCAACCGACCGAACACATATTTCTGCCCCCCCCCCCCTCCCAGCCACCGCTTTGGAGCGGCTCAGAGCTCAAGAAGGCGCGGGTTCCCGGCGACAAAGCGGCGCAAGTAGTGCCGGGTCGGGTTCGAGTAGCCGTCGGGATTCGTCGTCGTCGGAAGCGGCGAGCGGCCGGCGGAAACGGTCGATGTCGTCGAGCGGAACGGCGGGGGCCGGAGGCGTGGCGACAGGAGTCGGTAGCGGCGGCGGCGGGGGGGGTAAGGCGGTGGGCGAAGGGAGTGATCCGCCGAAACCGTCGATCAAAGACTTCAAGGTCGTGAAGGAACTTGGCACTGGGAACTTTTCCACCATCGTGAAGGTGCGTCGGAGGAGAGGGTTTTTCGTTGTTTCTTTCCTTCCTTTTTTTTCTTTTGACGAGTCTTTTAATGTTTTTTGCGGGGCGTCGAGGCGGTGGCTGCATCTGTAGGGCATATTTTGTTCTTGTGTTGGGGACGTTTTTCTGTAAGTGTGGGTTCGTGTGTCATTGTTTCTCGGGATGAAACGCGCGCGAGAGAGAGAGGGGCGAGCTTCTTGGCTTGGGCGTATTATACGTGCTGTTCCGGTGACTGCTTGATGTTTGCTGGCCGTCTTGTGGTGTGCTCGCTCGGCCTAGTCAAGCGCACGTTGCTGCTCTCGTGTATTGGTTGCTGTGTGATTTGCTGCTTCCGTGGTGTACTCGCTCGGCCTAGCTGCGCGCACGTGCTGTTTGAGCGAGCTTCTTGACTTGGGCGTATTATACGTGCTGTTTCGGTGTCTGCTTGAGGTTTGCTAACTCTCCTGTGGTGTACTCGCTCGGCCTAGTCAAGCGCACTTGCTGCTTTGGCGTATTGCTTGCTGTCGCGCGCTCTCTTGTTGGGGTTCTCGCTCGGCGTAGTACAGCGCACTTGTGTTTTTTGTTGTATTCCTGTTTGATCTTGCTGCTTCTGTGGTGTCCTCTCCCGCTCCCGCCAGGCGGAGCACCGGCGAACCGGCAAGCCTTTCGCTCTCAAGATGATCGAGAAGGCGGAGGTGAACCGTCTGAAGCGCAGGCACGAGAACGTGTACAACGAGATCTACATGGAGAAGCGCGCCCTCACCAAGCTGAGCCACCCCAACATCGTCAGGATGCACTCCACCTTCCAGGACTATAGTGAGTTCTCGCTATGCTGCGACAAGAGGAGGGGGGTCACGGGGCCCCAGCTCATGGTCTTAACATGTAGTAGGAAGTGATTTCGTCTCCTTCCAGGATCTAAACGCATGCCGTAATGTAGGAGGTAAACTGTTGACGTCGCATCCCTACCACGGCCCGGATGAAGGAGCGATATGCAGGGTTTTCGCCGGCCCAGGCTAGGTTCCGCAAGGAAGGGCCAGAAGCTGACCACCAACGTGGGAAATTACCCCCACGGCACCTCCCTCCCAGGGCCCCAGATCATGACCTTATCATGTGGGAGTCTTTTAAGTATTTTCGTCACACAGAGATTTTTTCGTTTTTAGCAACACGTTCGATGCTTCTAAATACGTACGCACGTTTGTTTTCTGCAACCACCGTGCTGTTGAGTGAGCGATGGTCACTTCACTTTTGCCCCCCTTGTACCACCTCTCTACTTCACCACCAATTGATGACGTCCACGTACCCCCCTCCGCCCCTGTTCTCCTGTGCGGGACCCTCCTGTGTGCGCGGGATGGCGGTTATACACACACACACACAGGCACCCTGTACTACCTGTTGGACATGTGCGACGGGGGAGAGGTATGGAAGCGGCTGACCGTGGACGATAAGGTGGTCGGGGCTCACCCTTCGCTGGCGAGGTTCTGGCTGTCCGAGGTAGTGTCGGCCATGGAGCACATGCACCGAAGGGGGCTGGTGCATCGAGATCTCAAGGTGAGAAGGATGACGAACGGCTGGGTTTGTTGCTGTAGGCGGAACAAGCTGACCTGTTTCGCTAGAAAATGTACGTTTTTGTTTTTGTTTATTGTGTAACGGAAGAGTTGAAGAATGGATCATGACTGGAAAACCGGGGTTACAAAGGATGGTTCTCGTAGGGGACTGGGGCATTGAGTTCTCAAGGAGAGAAGGGACGGGATGACGAACGGAGGCGTTTTTTTTTTCATGTTCACACGGCTTTTTTTCATATTTTGTTTGTTCGGTTTTTGGTGGTTTTGGTTGACGTCTGGAGCGCGTTGGTTTGTGATGGGTATTTGTTTCACTGATGATGTTGCCAACATGGGTTCTGCATGCCCTTACCGTGTGTTAGCTTGGGGTTCTTTTTTTTTTTGCTCTTGTCGTAGCTTCATTTCCTGCGCTCTTGTTCTGACAGTTGAGTCGGCATAACACGTTCCCCATCGAGGGTTGGTGCAGAGAGGGAAGGGTGTGTACTCATAGTCGTGCATGCCGTAGTCGTTAGACCATTGACCTCGCACCCCTACAAAGGCCGGGACGGAGCACCCCGGGTTCTCAACGGAACAGGCTCTAGAGGGAAGGGGGGGGGGTATGCCGCCCGTCTTTTTCGGGTGTCTTAATCGTTTTGTAATGTTACAGTGTCACATTTGACTTGTTTTGACAGGGTATGCCTCGGTTTCCGCCTGACTATTGATACTTCACTCTCGGTGCTATTTCACCGTGGTATTTCAAACTACAGTACGGTCAGAAATCGCAGTTGTAGATCTCTTGTGAACCCCCCCCCCCCCCCTCCCGCCCCCCGCGCCCTCGACGGCACGAATGCGCGCAACTCGGACGCTCCTGATGACGGGGATGACTGTCACTCCATCTCGCCGGATGGATGGATGGACGGATGGCAGCCGGAGAACATGATGCTGACCATGGGGGGGCATGTGAAGCTGGTGGACTTCGGAACTTGCAAGGACCTGCTGGAGACGGACATCAACGGCGGGGAATTCGTGGGCACCGCGCAGTACATGTCGCCGCAGGCCGTCGCCAGCGAGGAGCAGGTGACGTCAATGTGGTGCTCTATTAAATAGTCACTGCTGTCTGTCCTTGTTGATGTTGTTGTTTTGCTGTTCTTGGTGGCGTGTGGGTGAACATGATGCTGTTGTGCTGCCGTTGTTGCTGCTGCTACTGCTGCTACTGCTGCTGCTGCTGCTGCTGCTGCTGCTGTCTTGTTGTTGTGTTGTTGTTCCTACTGTCGTTGTTGGTGGTGCTGTTGCTGTGTAGCTTGAAACATATACTTTGCGTACCTCCCCCTCCCCCCAAACCCCCGCTCGAGTCCTCGAAATCGGTGCGCGGTACAGCAGGGGGTCAGATGCGTTAAGCGATCAGGAGACTAGCGCCTCGGCTTTGGTGCATGATGATGAGGGTCAGGAAAGCAAAGCAAAGCAACAAGCCCCCCGCCCCCCACCGGTCGAATTTTTCCCATTAATCTTATCCTTGTGCACGCACACGCTCCAGGGCCGAGAGGCGGATCTCTGGGCGCTCGGTTGCTGCGTATACCAGTTCCTGGTGGGGTTCACCCCCTTCCACGCGCCCAGCCCCTACCTGTGCTTCCTGCGGATCAAGAAGGGCGTCTTCAGGTACAAAGAGTGGTCCCATCCTGAACACTTCCCGTTGGGAGCATCCATGTGCGCTACCTGCGTTCGCGAGAATATATATATATTTCTGTATCTAGGATTAGAAATGTCTTTTAACCATCACCCTAACCCCATCCCTCAACCCACACCTGTAACCCCTACTACAATCTATCCTCGCGCTTGCTACTGTAATATGCCCACCCTTGAACCGTTGGTTTTCCGTAGCCGCCACCTGTGTGCGTTGCTTGGGGTAGAAGGGCGTGTCGCAGGTATAAAGGTTGGCCCCTTACGCTGACCGTTGCCCCGGGCATGAAGGAGGGCACGTGTCGAGACGTAACGATTGGCCCCACCCTTTAGCCTCCCTCTGGTCTAGCTCACACCTGTGTTGTGTGCGTTGCTGGGGTTAAGAAGACCGGTGTGTTCAGGTGCACAGAGCGGCCCCCCACGACCCTGTAGCCTGCGTCTTTGTTTTTGCTGGGGTTAGAAGGGTTAGAGTTGTTTTGCAGGCGACTTGGGAAACAATTGTCCAAGCCTCTTCCCGACGCCTTTTTTCACGTGCCTTCGGTTCAAACCCTCCTCACACTCCCCACTCCGGAATGCGCCACGCCAATCAGGTGCCCGGAAGTCCTCCCCGATGATGCCACGGACCTAGTCAAACGCCTGCTCCGCAGAAACCCTTCCAGCCGCCTCGGAGCGGGGCCGTTGTCCGGCACCGACCCAGCCCCTTCCCCTTCGGGGGAGCCCGGTGGGGCGGCGGCGGCGGGAGGGGGGGCTGCTGAGGGCAAAGCCGAAGGGAGGGGGGGGGGTAGGCGGGACGGCGGCGGCGGCGGGTTCGAGGCGCTCAAGGGGCACCCCTTCTTCCGCGGCCTGGAGTTTGTCGGCGACGGACAGGTGTGTGCGGGTGTCGCTGTCGGTGGTAGTAGTAGTAGTAGTTGTTGTTGTTGCTGCTGGTGTGTTCGTCGTTGCTATCGGTGTGTGTAGTCTACCGTATACGAGATAACACACCACTGGACCGATTTTCAAAGATCGATTCCTCAACAGCAGAAAGCGTCACAGAGCGCCGAAACCGGAGGCGTTGAGGTGGTCTCGTCGAGAGCTTTCCAAAAACTTAACGTTTCATCTATTCATCCTCTTCGTCGTGGAGTAATTCTGCTTTGAAAGTCGATGCAGGGGGTGTGTTCTTGTGTTGTATACGATAGTTGCTGTCGTTGTTTCTGGCAGTGGTGGCGCTGCCGAATACGCTTTAGTTAGCCTCTACTTGGCAGCGGCACCGTGGTTTCTTCTAACAGTAGCTCTTGTCTTCCCCCCTACCTTCTCTTCGCCCAACGCAACCCCCCCCGGCAAGCTTTTGCCGCCGTCCTCCGACTCATGAAGTTATCAGTACTTGGCTCTCGCGCTTGTTTACTTTTTTTTTGTTCTGACCCCCGTCCCGTCGCCTTTGCCGCCCCAACAACGTGCGGTTGTTTTGTAATGGGGGATGGAACGGAAACCCAGCCGCTGCCGCCGTCGGTGACGGTTCCCAAGCTGTACGAGCTCTGCGTTCGAGCGCTTGCTCACCACATGGTGGACTACGCCGAATTCACTCCCCTCATCAGGTCCGTAGTCATGGTATTTTTCTTTCTTGGCGCTGCTGGTGGTGTTGCCTGTTGGTGCTGTTTGTGGTGGTGATGGTGCTCGCGCTGTTGTTGTTGTTGTTGTTGATGACTAATGTTGATGTTGTTGTTGTTGTTGTTGTTGTTGTTGCTGCTGCTGCTGCTGTTGACGTTGTTGTTGATGATGATGATGCTGATGTTGTTGCTGTTGATGTTGTCGTCGCTGCTGCTGTTGATGATATTGTTGCTGTTGTTGTTTGCTGTCGTGGTGCAAGAAATATGCCACCCGCAGTTGGCAAGCCGCCACCTTCTCCGTCGTGCTCGCTGCCACAGCAACAACATGAGATCAGCGATGTTTCTTGCAACAGAAGGGAGCTACTGTACCGCCTACAGTCACCCAAACGTTGTCGTCGTACAATATCCTTCCGCCGGGGAAGCCAACTTTGCCAGTCATGTACCCGCTCCAAGACGATCTGACCGCCTCTTGCTGACACCTTTTGTTACCGTACACTCTCGAGTCGAGACTTGGGGAGGTCCATGCTTCTCGAAAACTCGGTAACCAGACTCTCTTGACCCTTAACCCTTCTGAAGTCGGTGTTTCCCTGCTGCCGCCGTCGTGTGCCATGTGTGGTGCATGCCAACAGAGAGCCATTTCCAGACCACGTTGACATCAAGCGCCTCGGTGCGGGCGGGGAGGGGGTCCCGTGCGGCACCAGTGCCGGCGGTAGCACCCCGGGAGGGGGCCCCGCGGCTGCGGCTGCGAATGCTGCTGCCCTCAAGCGGCGGCGGGGTTTCGTGGAGCGCACGAGGCATTACCTGCGGCGTCTCCGGTTGCTGCAGCGCCCCAAGGTGCACCGCCTGTTTCACCCTTCCGCCGTGGACGCGAAGAGTCTGAGGGCCGACCCGATCATGAGGTGAGCATGTCGGGGGGTTGGGGGACGCAGATCATACGGAAGGCATGCATGTGCTTCGGTGTGTATCAGATGCTGAGGGTCGATCTGATCATGAGGTGAGCGTGTCGGAAGGGGGGGCACGCGGATCGTACGGAATGCATGCATGTATGGTGTATGTGTAAGATGCCAAGCGTCTTCGTTTTACTGTACCGGAGAGGGGGGGTACGTTGGATGGTATGGGATAGGGTGCTGCTCGGCCAGGACGGAAGCAAGTCATTTTTTCTTGCTGGCCATTCGCTGTGCGAAGCCCCCAGCGTGCGTGAATCGCACCAACGGTGAAGACATACCACTGCATTCATTGTTGTACTTGAAAAGATCCCCTTGCGAAGCGGACTGCCTCGGCACCTACGTAGCACGTGCTGTATTTTCTCACACGTGGATGACAGAGCTTTCTTTTTTGCAAGGCAGACTGAACGTACGTTGAGTTCTGGGGCCCATGCGAGGGTCTCGGATTGTCTTTTCGTTCGCATCTCGATCCGATTCTGACAGCTTTATGTATCTCGCACGGTAGACCGTTTTTCTTTCAATTTCAATTGTTTGATGTTGATGCCCCAGAACAACAATGATCGAAAACAACTACTGTTGGATTTGATTGGAAATGGTTTAACCAAAGTGGAAGCTTTGTTCGTACTATTGCATTCAGCAGTATGAGTAGAGAATGTGCCTTCCAAGGCCTTGGTTCTTACCGTTGGGATGTTTTTTTTTTTTTTTGTTCACTTCAAATCAGCGTTCACAGCACTAGTGCCGTTTACTCCAACCCGTGGTCACACAGAAGAGCCCCTCTCTACCCTACCCTCCTGCGGTACTGGGATGTTTGCATTGACATGAAACGGGGCGATATACCAGAAAAAAAACTGAAGGGATGAAAACGAACGTTCGTACATGTGTTGCCTTCAACCGATTTTTACATTAGGGTCCCCAGATTTGTTGTCGTGTACGTTGGCGGCAGAACCGTTGAATATGGTGGTAAAAACAGTTCAAAGTGCCATTTTTATTTTTTTTGCTGCCGGTGGGTATTGATGGACTTCCTGGCGCTGAGAGGAGTTGTGTTGTTGCTGGTGGTGCTGCCTTCACGATGTTAACAGTCGGAGGGCTTTGTGTACAGTATATTCTCGCGACGCCCAAGGGCAATCCAAGAAATATAGCGGTTTTCGACGAAGCGGAACGAGGGCCCCCGACAGGTACTCTCATGAAGGCAGCAGACCCATACAAACAGCATCCACAACAGCAACAGCAACAGCAGCAGCAGCAGCAGCAGCAGCAGCAACACCACCACCACTTACAGCCACCACCACTTACAGCTGCAGCAACAACAACGACAATGTTTTTTTTTGGCAACATAACAGAGAGTACCTGGGTTTGGACTGGGAGTCTCAGGGTCACTGGGACGAGCCGTTCTTCTTCATCCAGATCGCGGACCCGCAACTGGGAATGGTGAAGGCTGATGGTCCCGTGGGGGGAGCGGTGTGGGAGGTGAGAGAGAGGGAAGGAGAGGAAGAGGACGATATGGCACAAACACGCAGAGAGAGGGGGGGGGGGGGGGGGGGGGGGGAAATACAACTACCTTAC